GAAACAGTATCCAAATCAGATCCTAGAGTTTAACCACTTCTTACCTGCAACTATCCCCAATTGTGAATCATCAATGCATTTATCTAGTACAGTCATGAGCTCCAGTGGCATATYACCTGTAGCAAAGAACTTTAACCAAAATCCAAAAACATGAATTAGCAAGCACATTTGTGTTCTTTTAAGCTGATATATAGTAAATACCTCCATGTCAGAGTTCCTGGATAGGGGGTATTATCCGGTCAATCTCACAACAGCTACTTACTTAATCCTACAACTATTGGTCACACACCAAAAATTGCTTCAGATTTTAAGCAAATCTTGATAAACAGAAGTTGAAAATAAAATACCAACATTAGACGGAAGCTTCAAATTCATTCTTGATAAACCAGAGGTTGAAAATTAGATACCGACATTAGACGGAAGCTCCAAATTCATTTTAAACATAAAGATCGTATCTAAAATGCAAGATTATCCACATGCTAGAAATTGGAGAACACAAGTAGATATCGTCAAATAGACCAAAAAATATATGGAACCACAATAAACGAATTCTTACTCTTCRAAATTATAAGKCAAAACTCCATTTATAGTACAGTCAAAACTGCCCTTTTGAGGAAAAGAGTCAAAACACCGCCATGAAACTACCCCATTTCACATCAAAAGTGTGTATAACTTCTCTCTGGAATTCAAGAAGTCAATACAAACTTCAAAGTGTTATGTGGTCACTTCTGATGGGCAATTAAACAAAGAATCACAGATTTTACATCTATAATAAAGTCAGTTTTCAGATACAGAAATCTAATGTAATTTGCAATGTACTACAGATTTTAGACGTTGAATTTCCCTTATAATTGTATGAACAAAAGCACTCAACCCTTCATATGAAVTCATTGTAAACTCAAACCGATATCTAAACGGTAATAAACCATACGAAATCAATAATGCAGGCAAGATAGCTTAATGTTCTTATAAATCAATGATAGTTGGATGTTTAGCAGTTACTTTTCTGGAATTAGGTTCCAGACATGATAGATAGAGCAAACACAAACGTAKTTGAAATATATTTGATACACTATGAATGCTATGATTAAGAGTTGGTAAATGGRAAAAAAGCAGGATTACTGAGAAACGATTTTTCTCCTCCCCAACCAGTCCTGCAAACACATACCAATCATATGAATGTATTGTATTGTATATAGAGTTTTATAAGAACATCAAATTTCAACATAATTACCTTTTCCTAACTCAATAATCAAAGAGAAGAAATCATCCAAGTTTCTCACATCTTTGCATGAATTAACAATAARTGAAGCTTCTGTTGAGGAAATCATCCAGAGGATCACTATAACAATCCAAAATTCTCAATCTGTCAAAAATGAACAGTTATTAATGACATCATCTAATCAACAAAACAAACAAATTCCTTCATGTGAAGATTATATGACAGAAATTTAATGAAATTTGC